CTTTTATTCTTCAAAGTAATTTTCATTGCTTTTCTCTTTTTTTTTTTTTTCACCGCTTTAAACGATATTTTTTTAAACGCTTCTTCCATATGCAATATCATTGCATTTGAAACAATTTATACTTTTATCACTTATGTGATTAAAATCCTGATGGTTTCTATTACATACCTTTTTTTGTCACAAACAACAGCTATAATAATTCAAAACTTTGCCAAAGCCAGTATCAAAAGCAGTCTAATTGAAAGTTTTGCAAAGAGTTTATTTAAAAGTTCCTTATAAATAAACACTTTGTTATATCCAACAGAGCTCTCTGTTATAACTTAACAAATACGTTGTCTCCCTCTCTCTCTGTTGGATATAACTTAGAGTTAAGTTATATCCAACAGAGAGAGAGACAACGTATTTGACATAACAAGGTTAAGTGAGCTGTTTCTATGTCCTCATTTGCTTTTAAAATAAATTGAAAGTTATATTTTTTTATAGTCTTAAGTTTCTAAAACCACCGGGAGAAATGTTATGCAACTGTCATCCATGTTAACTTTAGTGTAAAAAGATTGAACTTAATACGTATAGAAATGGTCGGTGTTAAACAGACTTATCAAGACCCGTATTTTAAGGATTTTAAAGACCGCTAAGGATTTTAAAGACCGCTAGTTTAATTTTTTTTTTTTTTGCTTTTTTTTAATAACTTTAAAATAAAAGTTTTAAAATTAAGTTCACTTAATTTATTAAGTGCTCTATGATCAGACCGTAGGGACTTCTAAAAACCTCAAAAAAAACTTCTATTGAGCTTTTGAAGGGTTCCAGAGTTTAGAGAACTTTTAGATGATAAAGAAGAACTTAATAAAGTGGTTAAAAAAAATTCCTAATTAGTTTAAGATATATGTAGTTTTTTTCTTTGTATAAAAACTGTTTTTAATTTAATACTATTAAAAAAAAATTTAACATAATAGAAAATTAATAAATCAATAACAACTTCTATTTACTTGATAAAATATCTTTTTGATTTTAAATTTTATTGCTCAATGAAATGTTAAATAAAATTTTAATTAAAAATTATTTTGTTTGTTCTTTTTAAACCTTAATATAATTAGGGGTATATTATCGTTGTATAACTAAGGTAATTATACCGACTAAAACTCACATTAATTTTCATTTAACAATTAAAATTTGTTTTATTAGTTGAAATATTCTAAAATAAAAGCTAGGTTATAAACTAAAACACTTAAAAATAATTTAACAGCATTTTTAAGATATTATTTAAAATAAAAAAATACATATGCTTTTTAATTGTTTTATTTACTATGTATTATAAACAATATTTTTAAAGTTTTTTTCTTCAGGAAAAGTAAATTGTTTTCTTTGAAAAACTGTTTAAAAAGCAAACGAACATATTTATAAATTAAATGTGTTTTGGCAACTTACTATGTACTCTAGCATTTCGTCTTGTGGTTTATTAATCTTACTTGGAATCTCACGGGAAACATTTAAATTGATTTTCCTTTTTCTGTGTTTATGTCCTAACTTTGCTGAGGTTTCTGTATTTAACATCTTTTTTTTTTTAGAATTTTCAAGTGCAGATCTATATGGTGAAGTGAACTATATGGTAACTATAGCAGCATGTTGAACAAATCTTCGTTTTTTTAAAGTTTTTTTAAGAGATACAGACTCATCAGACAGTATTACTGAAATGTTTTGAAAGAGAATGTGTTTTGGTGACATTGGTCTTGTTATTGTTACTTTTTCCTGTGAATCACTGAGTGTGATGTTAGTAGTGTTCTGTTCTTGGTTTGTCACTGCAGCTACTATAAAATCTTCATCTGTTAAAATGAGACAATTAAAAGGATGAATTCCTGATTCACAAAATCCACTCTCAGCTTTACTTACTGATGCAGCCTTATCATAAGCAGTGCTGAACAGATTTCCAAATTTAGCCTATGCTACTTGTCTACCAGGGTGATGGCAATGTCATGACTGCACAATTGAACTGTAATGTGAGCTTAAGGATTTAAAAAAGAAATATCTAGTTGTTGCATTTTATGTTTACAATGACTTAGAAGGCCTAATATAATCACGTTGTTTCTACGAGTTTTTAATATCACTTTTATGTTCTTTGCATAACATCTATGACTGTCTAATATAAATAAAGTTGGTACATTGCAAATTGATGGCGCTTGACCCATAAGATGACTTCATGCGTACACGAGGAAAAAAAATCATAGGTGGCACATATGCTCCAACAGCACCCACACAGCATAACACTGAATTGGTTTGCTTTTTTGGACAATTTTTTTGACAAAACAATATTTTGCTAAATTATGTAGATTCTATTGAGGGTCTATAACTCCGAAGATATATCAGAAAATTAAAAAATCAGAGTTATATTTACATTTATACGAACAGTAACGAGTTAGCTAAATAAAATGAGTAAATCAAATAACTGTGTTGTTTGCAGCTTAGAATATGTAAATGCAATTACTCTTTTTTTTTTGGATTATTGAGGAGGAGGTAAAATTTTACAAATTTTGCACATATTTTACTTTTAACTTATTTTACTTTTGTTATTACCTTTTTCACAAAAAACGGAAAAACTTAATTTGCATCATTCACTCGTAACCAAACTAATAACCATTTTGTTTTTTTATAGCAAATCCCCTGAGATACACCAACTATTCCCTAGCTCAAAAAAAAGCTCAACACAAAAATTTCTTAGCTTTAATTTTTACACCAAAAACCTACACAATAATTTATTCCGTTCATTCCAGTTGTTTAATAAAGCATCATTGACTTATGTTTTACTGTCATATATGATAAACATCTAATATAGTTACTAAATTAAGTATATTATAAGATATAATCTTTACAAATACACCTTTTGGCTTTAGAATGATTTAAAAGATCTTTTAAAAGATAATTGACGTGTCTTCCACCAAGCATATCTCACATTTAAGTATTCTATAGTTCCGCCTACTGCTCCAATAATATCTCCAGAAAAATCAAAACTTACTAACGCTATATTTTAAAACTTAAGTCAATCATCTATTTTGTTACTTTTTCCTTTTTACCCTGAAGTTCAGTTGTTTTGTTGAAAAGGAAATTTTGAACAAAAACAATAACAAAGTATTTAATGTTTTCAGAGCTTTTTGACATTTTTGTAAATTTGCGAATTAAATTTGTAAAAACTTTATTATTTCTAAATGTAAATATTTAAAAACATTTCTAATAATTTTGCTGACTTTCGAAAAAGGTTTGAACTTTGATTATTTACTATTAATGCAATATATAGTAGGTTTAAAAAAAATACAAAAACTTAAAATAAAAAATATTTTACTGTGCCAAGCATATACAAACACCATTGCATTCCCGTAGAAGTTGTTTCATGAGCAGCAATTAAAAATGTCATTAGATTATCTCTAATTAAATTAAGGTCATCTTGCTGTTTTCTTTTTGCTGATCTTTTAAAGCGATTGTTAATAAATCTTTTTCATCAGTTGCTATTCCGTCTTCTATTTCTTTTTTTCGTTTGTCGATAAGCTTAAAATAGTATTTCTACAAATTATGGCGTATCTTTTATGAACAATAACAAACTTCATTAAAATTTTTATAAAATAATATTTGCTAAATTTATATTGAATATTTTTTGAATATCAATATATTTTTATAAACACTTTTTTTAAAAAAGTAAAAAAACATAAAATGTTATTCATTATATTAGCCATAAATAATAAACTTTAATGGATTTGCCAAACTAATGATTTTAATCAGTATGTGTTCTTTTTTATGAAAAATATGTTGAATGACAGAAAAAGTTTATAGATAAAATAACTATTAATAGTACAAAAAACACAAAATACAACAAATGGTTTCATAAAAATTACTTTCCATTCAAAATTAAAATTTAAATCTTATTAAGTTGAGGATTGTGAAAAGTATTGTGTCTCAGATTTTGGTTTTTCAATACTTTGAAATTGGCATTTGCAGTAAATGAATTTTTTAAGTTTGTGGAAAAAAAACTGCTTATTCAGCAGATATGAATCAAACTTGTTTGATGTTATTATTATTTTCTTAACCACCTTTTGTAAATATTTTTACATTGTAAAAGTGCACACAAAAAAAATTGTTTAAACTTTGAAAGGAAGAAAAGAAATCATTTTGGAATGTTTTCTTCTAGAGTTCGCTTGAAAATGTTTCTCTGTTTTCTTTTGTTCCACCAATCTAATAAGTATTTTATTTTTTCCTCTGTATATTTTGGGATTTTATCCCCCACTGCCACAAAACATATTCTATTTTTTTCATTCTTTAATTTTTCAAAACTTAGTCCACTGATATAGGACACCTGCTGGACATCGTCTACAAAAGATTGCTTTACCGTCGGATTTTTAAGCTGAGATTGAATAATATCATTTGTTGATTCGTTTACCAAAAGACGAATAAATCGGTTCAGTTTATTTTGGTGAATATATTTTGATACGTCTTTTGATCTGTACTTAGTTAAAAACTTAAAGGTGTGCTACACAAAATCTTAAATTTTACATTACTAAATCAAGTCATAAATGAAACATATTTTCATAATTTGCATATATATTAGGGTGGCCCGGAAAGCAAAAAGTAAAAAAAAAAACACTTTTCCATATCTCTAAATGTATTCAATACAATAAAATAACACAGAAAATATAAACACTTCGAATAAAAATATTTAGATGGAGTTGTGAGTAAGACCCACAAAAAATCAGTGTTGCAAATAAGGCCCGTAAAAAAAATGTCTTTTTTAAATGACTTAACTTGATACTCAAAAAAATCAAAACTAGGGCAAAGTAACCGATTAATGGCTATAAAATTCTTACAGATAACCGTGAAGGATGCCTTAATGTAAAAATGAATATTTTTTTCTTAATGTTTTATTAATGACTAACGCCTACACCTTATTAGAACTTTTTTTAGTTTCAAAGCATGCTTATTTTAGAGAAAAATCTATTTAAACAGAGATTTTAATTGTTTACCAATTAATGACCGGGTTGACCAAATAGTAGCCAGTAAATTAGGAAACGACATTTATCATAAGCCACTTATATTACCTAAAATCGAAGTATATAAAAATTTATATATTGAAGAATTATATATTGAAAAGTAATATCCAGACAGACGATTAAAGCCTAATAATGAACTTAGATAAACTTTATAGTACTAAAAACCAAAATTATTTTTTTAAAACTGAAATATTTTATACTTAACTTAAAAATTTTATTTTGGTTGATAATAAACAAAAAAATTTATACAGTATTTATTTGTTATTCAAGTTATTCATAACGCCGTTGTTTAAAAATGGCAGTAAAAATAAAGTTTCAAATTATAGGCCAGTTTCCTTGACTTCAATTCTTTGTAAAACTTTAGAACGTTTAATATCTAACCAACTCTTACATTACTTAAAGATTAACAATTTATTAATTTCTAATCAGCATGGTTTTACATAAAGCAAAAATTGCACAACTAATCTCCTAGAGTACATGGATATAGTAACAACAGGTGTTGCAAATGGTAAATCGTTTGATATCCTTTATACTGATTTCAAGAAAGCCTTTGACAAAGTTTCACATAGGAGATTAGCACTAAAAATTGAAGCGTATGGCATTACATCTACGTCATTGAAGTGGATAATTTCTTTTTTAACTGATAGGAAGCAAAGAGTTGTACTTGGAGAAAGTGTATTATCATGGGTAGACATAGTAAGCGGTGTACCACAAGGTTCTGTGCTTGGTCCAATTTTATTTTTAATATACATCAATGATCTTCCAAGTCAACTTACAAAGCAATTGTTGTTGTATGCAGATGATTGTAAAGTAATAGAAGAAGTTAATAATGAAACGGATGCACATGCTTTACAAAATGACATTTCTATGTTAGAAAAATGGGTAATAAACTGGAAAATGCAATTTAATTTTGAAAAATGTAAAATCATGCATATTGGTAACAAAAATAAAAATTATAAATATTTCATGACTAACATTAAAACAACGAAGAATAAGAGGAGATCTCATACAAATGTGCAAATGGTATTATGATATAGAGAAAACAACTTGGTAAATACCTCTTCAACATTCGTACTCTTTAAATTCTTCTGGTCCGTGTTCAAACATTTGAGGTAATAAACATAATTTATTCACCGATAAGAAATATTTAAATCGAAATTGTGAAGGTTTTTTTACAAAACGCACAGTCAAGTTCTGGAACAATTTACCAGTTGAAACAGTGGAAGTTAAAAATCTCAATTTATTTAAAGCTAAACTAGACTAAAAAATAGCTCTAGCACATAGCTGTTATAAGATTTCAATTGCATATAATAATGCAATTTTCAATATATAGACAATAAACTTAATAATAAAATATTGAAGTTTTGAAAATGAACTATTAATAATCTATTTAAATGAGCTCACTAATATTATTATCGATGAATCGAGTTGTATTCTTTATACTTTAGTACAGATTTTTTGATTATTTAAAAAGGTATTGACTTTTACTATCTTTGGAATTAAACTGACTTTTTTCATTTTAATTGAGTTAAAATGAAAAGCTTTTTTAGATAACTTTTGAGTCTCTTTCTCTTGTTTTTGTTGTGCTTTATTTTCTTTTTCTTTTTGCTTTATCCATATTTTTTTTCTTCAGCTGCCGTGGCTTTCTTCTTTTTTTTTTTTTTTACCTCATCGTTCAATTTAGATTGCATTGCTTATTGAGTAGTGAATACAAAACATTTTTGAACCTTTTTTCAATTTTTTTTTTGTCACAGTAGCATATATCTTTGGATAAGGCAAAATATCACTGTCATTATCATTAGTTGAATGCTTTGTACACAAAATAATTGGTGTTAGACTAGGCTGAACAATGGCTTCAAATGGCATTTGATTACAATCATGAATGGTTAGATTGGAAAAAAAACTAGATTATCTAGTTATTACATTTGGAACAGAAATTGGCTGAACATTTGTTTCATATAAAATTGGGATAGGAACTATGGATTCATTTGGCATTGGAACAGAGTCATCTGTTTTTAAAATAGCATTTGTACATAAAGTCTGTTTCAGTTTGAAATTCTTTAAATAATTTATACAAAGGATCTGGGATGTCGTAGCCATTTTGAATACAGAAATTGAAAGTTGTAAACTGCTCATGAGTTAAATCCGTATTCCATATCAAAGAAGCAGTATTATTGTTAAGAATTACCAAATTACTATCTATTATAGTAGTAGATTGAAACCCTGAAATAATATTGTCAGCTGTGAGGGCGTGATCCTAGGCTTTCTTAAGGTGGTACTACCCTACATTTTTTATTTTTCAAAATATGGTACTTTTCTTAAAATGATAAACATTTTTCGATAGTTGTTAAAAAAATGAATATAAAAAATATCATTTTTTTACTTTTTGTCACAAAGAAATGCTGAGTCAGCAAAAAAAAGCAAAAAACATGCGGTCACAAGAACATGAATAACTTGAGTAATATTTGAGATAAAAGCTTTAAATTTAACAAACATATAACTAAGTGGTTGGTGGAGGGCGTCTAGTAGAATTTTTAAAAAATACAGAGCCAAAGTAAAATGGCAGATATTAACCTGTAAATATCATAAAATATGGTTCGTGGGGTATGTAAAATTTTAAATTTTGGTCAAAATAAAAAGTATTTTTTGTTTATTCTACTACCAGCCCTTTCTACAACTTCAATGAACAAACTTTGAAAATTTCAAAGAATAAGAGTTAATAGTTTTTGAGATATCAATGTTCTAGTTTAAAAATATTTGAAAAAAATTATTCTAAGAAAAACAGCTTTTAAAATAAAAAATGTCACTAACTAAAAAAATCTCTTAATAAAAAATATCCGAACTAGCCACATAAATATGATTAACCAACTTTTATATTTTGTTCTGTGTCAAAATAACCTTTTTACAACACCAACAAAAATATTGTGAAAATTGAGCAAACATATAAACAAACATGGTTGCTAAGGCCGTTGCTTGGGATTCGAAATTTACCTAGTTGCCTTTAGATACTAATTTAAGTACTTTATATTGATTTTTAAAGGGAAATAGAATTATACTCGTGATCTAGGATGTTCAAACTGTTAAAATTAAAAATATATGTATTTTTTGTTTTTTGATGTTTTTAATACCGTAGTACCACCTTAAAAAGCCCATAAAAATTTGGCTTGTCAAAAGAATCTCCCTTAAGATATTTACCAAGGGTTGACAAAGGAATATTAAATTGTACTGCACTTTCTCGTTGGTAAGTCGACATTAAGTTCTTTTGAAATGCTGCAATTGCATTTTTCATGTTGCTGTTGGACCACTGAAATCTTTATACTTTTGTCAATTTCTGGTTCAACTTCCAATTAAAATTAGAGGCAGGTTTCTTTTTAATTTTCTTTTCTTTTTTTTTTGTGATTTCTTTCGTTTTTCCTATAATTACTCAAATTAACTAAAAGATAGAGTATACTAACTACAATAGTTGACCTTACATACATCTAATCTAAATATATTATCATAACATACACAGATGTCACAAACAAATACACATACAATAACATACACAGATGTCACAAACAAATACACATACAATAACATACACAGATGTCACAAACAAATACACATACAAGACATTACAAATACACATGCAAGCATAAAATATGCTGTGCATCAACATAACAGACAAAGTATACATATGTACAATCGTTGAATACAACATAATTTGATATGATTTAGATAGATTTTCATTGGTATGCTTATTGGACATCAAATCAAATATACAAAAACATATAATATAAAATTACATGTTTACAAACATTACATAATACATATATAATATGTTATATTTTATATTACATATTCACATAGTATGTATACATGTATTATGTTTGTAAGTGTGTAACTGCGTTTTTGTTTTTAAAATTATTATGTAACTACTAAATATTAAAAAATAATTTGTTTTTTTGGATATAAATTGAATAATAAATATCCAAAACATTATTTTAAATATTTGCAAACATTTTATAATAAAAAATTACATACTTAAAAACATTACAAACATAGTTAACTCTTATAATAAACACTGTAAATTAAAAATTAATTTGTAATTATACCAGGTAAAATAAATAATAATTATAGGTAATATCTGGACAATAGTTTAATTTATTGTGTATAAACTATAACATAGTTTTTAATATAGTCTATATACATACATATAGTCTATATATATATATACATTGTGTATATATACACATAGTATGTATTATATATACTATATGTATATATACGCAATCTATATATATCATATATTAACTATAACATAATTTATAATATAGTCTATATACACAATAAATTAAACTGTTGTCCTAATAATAGCCACATCAGTTACAAATAGAAGCCGAGGCCCTTAATTGATCAAACGAGTGGCTATTATTAGGATCTATTTGAAACCTGAGAGTTAGGTTATATATATACTTCTGTCTATCGTATATTGACCAACAAAACATTTTATATTATAAGATTATAGTAATACAACAGATCAAATTATACCAAAAGTACATAACTAAAAGGTTATTGTTTTAAATGCGTCTTAAAGTTGCTTAAAAAAACCAAATATTGTTACTGACGGTATAAAATATTTACTTTAACTTTGAAAAATAATAAGATTTCTTAAAAATCAAGACTGAATGAAACATTTATAAACGTTAGAACAAAACATAGATATGTTAAAGAAACACAAAATTATATTCATCAATCAGATAAATGTTTCGCCAAATAAGTAACTGCAATAAAATTGGACTCGGATTTGGCTCTTAATAAGACCCGGCCTTTATTAGGGCACTTTGCCCTATCTAAAAATAATATTTGTTTTACAAAAAACCATATTGAAAAAATAATATTAACAAAAGTTTGTAAAATTCAACCTATTTTAACTTTTAAATAAAATAAAATAAAACACAAAGTTAAAAAAAATATTTACAATTAGATATAGCAGCTGCATAAGAAGGTAAAAAAACATGGAGTAGTATAAGGCTTGACTTACACTGACAACAAGGAACAAAAGCTTTTATTCCTACCTGAATCAAGGAGGTCATGTTAGAGGCCGAGGACTGTAACAAAAAAAATTGAATAAGAAATTCTATTGAGATGAAGGAGAACAATAAAGAACAAAGAGTAATGTGATAGAGTAAAGAGGTGCCAAGCTGAAGCTCATAAGAGAGTGGTCAAAAAAGGCAAATCTAATTTTACGGCAAATAGGTGAATTAATGCTTATGTGTACTCACTAGCCAAGCATGTTACTATTGGAGTAATTTTAGGACAGTACCCTTCGACACTGTGATCTTAAGAAAAAACACCAGAATTTATTAGTCTCATAAATAGCAAGCAATAAATTTTGCAAGAGTTAAGACTTAAATAATGGAAGGTTGCTATGCAGATCTCAAATTTTTGTAAAAGAATTATTAAAACAAATAGGCGGTGGGGATGGTTTTTTAAGTTTAATATTTTAAGTTAGTTTTAACATAGTTTAAGTAAAACTACAGTTGCATTAGTCCTGCTAATTAACCCAAAGTTGGAATTCAAATCTCCTTATGTGACTTATACAATTTGCACCAAAAGAACAATCAGGGGCACCATCCATACGCAACGCATTAGGGTGGCGCAAGCAAAATTCTCTGAGTATAGTCAAAAAGATATACCATTCATTATCTTAAGTAAGAAGCAATGTAATACAAGTGTACAACTACGCCTGCCGTTAAGAAGGAGTTAACAAAATTTTTCCAATTTATGCTATTGTCTTTACTTAGGAGACCCTAATATCTTTGCTTTGGAGTAGAAGGATGTTGTCAGCATCTATCCAAGATGAGTTTTTTTTTATCTAAACAACATCACGAGCTTTTATGCAACGAAGAGCCTAAAGGCAGGAGAATTTTAGCTGGATGCAGTTAACATTTGCACAAGATAAGTATTTTTATGAAGACACTATCTCTAGCCTTTATTCAACCAAGAGCCCCAGGGCAAGGAATTTTTAAGTTAGAATCTGTTTTGCAAAGCTTAAAAAAGTGAACTTTATTAGGCAGCAGGACATGGGATAGATAGCATCCACACTCAATGGGATAGGTAAATTGTGTTGATCCTCATCCTATCCTGACTTGAACTTGATTTAAATTTGACTTTTTTTCAATTAAAGAACTTGTACAATAGAAATTAAATCAATTTGTGTCACACCATATTTTAAAATATTGAATTAAATGAATTAATAATTTTTCAGTATTAACTGATACAACTGTTGACCTTCTGCATTCTTTGTTGTAGTTGGTTGTTGTTTAGTATTTTGTTGATAGTGATGGTTTTTTATTTTTTTAATATCTGTTTGCAGGAGAAAGATTAGTTTGAGCATATGAAAAGAGAGGATATTATATGGATTTCAAAAAGGAAGTAATATTTTAGATCCTTATTTTATAAAGTACTGACAGGAACAATTTAGAAAGCTTTTTGCCACAAACAATCAGTTTTTAATAATAAATTATTGATAGACTTGAGTAGAATGTTATCCTTTTTAGTTTTTATTGAATAACTGCCTTATTTAAGAACATAATAAAATAAAAGTGTTAAAACTGTATTCAGAATAAAAAGAAAAAAAATAATATTATTACAAATGAAAAAAATCTCTTTTATACAAAAACACTTTCAAGTAAATTCCATATACTAAATTAATTAAATCAGTATCATATTCTTATATGTCAGTTTAAACTTGATAGAAAAACCTTTTTATTTAATTCTTTATTTAAAAAATCATACAGCAATGGATTTTAGATCAAAAATTTATTATAAATTTTTGATCTAAAATCCATTGCTGAATGATTTTTTAAATAAAGAATTAAATAAAAAGGTTTTTCTATCAAGTTTAAACTGACATATAAGAATATGATACTGATAAATATATACACTAAATACTACAAATTACATAAAAAAATAAATTTTAAGTAAATTTTTAATAAATATAAGAATAATATTAAATCTAACTTGGTTATATAATTGATTTTATAATGATATCAAACGTTACAAACTTAAATGTGTTCAAAAGTAAAACAAATAATGAAAGGATGAAAATATAGATAATGCAACATCTAAGCTAATTTTCTAATGATGCTCTAAATTTGGAATTAAATTTTGAATCAAACGGAGTGCGAAACTCCATTTATTAGAACAGTGTCTAATGCCATTTGCTTGTATGATTTATAATTTACATTTATTTTTTTGAATTAATTAATAATTTTGTTATTATTTGATATTCGAGATGGAATAAATACGTTATTAAATGTTAAGAATGATAACAAGATTTTAAATGTTATAAATAAAATAAAGGATGTTGAAACATAGAAAATAGAAAATTTTATATTAAAGGACATGAATGTAATGAAGACTCTTGTTAAACTTCATTTTTGTATGTATAAATATAGCACTGTTATAAATTAAATCATTGACTTTTTAGCATCAAAAACTACAATTGACTATTTTATGAACCAGTGACAATTAGCACTACTGAACTTTTGTGTTAATTTAACTGTTTTTAGATAATACTTAAGAAAAAAAAAGTCTGAAAGTTCTATAAAAATGGGGAAGAAGTAGTCATCAGTTTTAAGGAAATGAAATTTACAGAAAAATTCAATATCTATGCACTGATAAACATTTCTTGATATGTTAAATAATAGGAAAATTGAAGCTATCAATACTCTGTAACCATACTAAAAAGACAAGTTGAAAAATGGCTTTCCATTAAATATTCATTGTGAAAGCGAGTGCAATCGAAAAAAAAATTAAACTAAGTAATGAAAGAAAACTCGTAAAAATAGTGAAAAAAATAGATTAGTTACATACTCAGCAATTATTAGCTAGTTGAATGAGATGGGATTAAATAAAGGAACTATCAAGTTTGCATTGATTGAGCATCAGAATTAGAATGCCAGCAATCGGCAAATCATTATGATAAAAAAATTTTGTTTCTTTCTAATAGTTATATATTTTTATTTAGTAATTATTTTTATTCCTTTTTCTCCATGTATGCTCCAGCAATGAGTCTACGAGTGAATTTTTGATTTAAAAGACTCAATACGTGCAACGGGTTTCCAATAAAAATTTTTATGAAGATTGAATAAACTAGGCTACTAAACATCCTCATATGGCCATTTTGGTTAGAAAACTCCTTAGATCTAAACTCCATAGAAATTGTATGGAAGTTATTAAATAAATTTTCTTTTGCTAGTAATGGCATTAAATAGGACCCAATTGATTAAAAAACTTCGTTTGCATTTGAGCCATAATGTATATTTAACAATAAATGGCTTTAAACTGCATTTATTGATTTGCAGTCATAAAAAATTAACAAAGGGTCAAAAAAATATTAAAAATCTATGTTAATAAACATATTCTTATTGTTACTTTGTGTATCTTATGTTCGAAAATCGTTAAATATAAAGTTTTCACTGCATTTTTATAAACACAGAAAATTTACCTCTAAGAAGAAAAATTAATATTATTATAATACGTATAAAAATAATAATAGATAATAAAAAGAAATATAAAGTATCATAAGGATAAATAAATTTTTAATATATTATATAAAATTTTAACTGTTACTCAATATCACTCAATAAGTGATATTGAATAACATAGTACTATATTAAAGTACTATGTTATTCAATATCACTTATTGAGTAATTTGTTAATTTTATTAAATAGCTAGGTTCGGTACATTGCTTAAATCCTTCACACAATAATTATACTCACCATGTTTAGATTATTACGTAAAATTTCCTCTGTTTTCTTTCGTTTTCCAAACATGATTGACAGCCCCATTAGGAAAGGAAAAAAAGCTGATAGAGCTTTATAGATTGGCTTTATGTTATATTGTAGTTGACAATAACTTTGAAAAGCCTTTGTAAATTCATTACCAGAATGAGAAGTTAAGGTGTTAAATTGATAGCCATAACCAACATCACCAATTATATCAAGTGATAAATTAGACAAGTCATCTAAAACAATTATTTTGGTACCATTTTCTTTATCACATGTATATGACCAAATCTAAAAGTATTGTGATAGCTAATTTTTACAATATATATTCATCTCGTACAATATAACCAAAATAATAAAACCACAAAGGTTAGTCAAAAGTATTTTGACTATACTTAAGTATAATGAAAAGTAGAGTAATAAAATCACAATTCATGGTTACATGGTTATATGGTTACCATGGTACATGGTTAGTTCTAAAGTGATATTATGTAAAAATGAAAAGCATTCGACCCAAAACAAGTTGTGTAAAGTTTATCACTTAATGGTGTTTTAACTACAAAAAATTGAAAAGTAAAGGCTCAATTATTAGCGAGACAATCAAGTTTTACAAATTTTTTTTTTTTTTAATTCTTATAAATACATTATGCGCTTTTTTGTGTTTGTAAAATATATTATAGACCTTATATTGTTGTAAAGTTGATGGACAAGAAACGCTTATTTAAAGTTTTTCTATGAATAGATCAAGCATAGCAATGAACTGCATTTTTAATTTTTTTTAATAAAAACACCAAACAAATGTTTTTGAACGTATAAAATAAAACATATAGGGTTGTAAGACTATTTTTAGATTTTTAAAACACTAAAGTCTTGTTATATTTTTTGAAATTAATTTGTAAGTAGTTTTACAAATTAGTTTTTATGTAATGTTTTATGTAATTTTGTGATTTTTATAACCATTTTTGGGACTTCAATGTCAATATGCCAATATTGACTTTGTCATCATTGGCAATTCTCATATTAATAATATGTTTATAAACATTCCATTACGCTCCCAATACTTGCATTTATTATATATTTGAAAAACAATAATGGAGCAATATTAGCATGCTTAGAGAAGAGTGGGGTATTGGCGAACGCCTAAGCGGAAATGATAGTTAAAGACACTAGTTATAAAAAATTGATCATTTTTATTGCTTATCACTTAGTCTAACTATTCAGTCTCAAAACTCCAAAAGCAACTTTTATATATCTTATTATAAAACAAAAATTTAAGCAAAAATAAAACAATTGCCTTTTGGAGTTACCTTACCTACGTGGGGTGATTCCGAACACACTATGGGGTAATTGCATACGCTGTTGATTAATAACGAATAAAATGATAATTGTATTAACTATGTGCAGAAATCAGAGAAAAAACCTCAGGATAAGCTGACCTCCTCCAAGCCTTTTAATTGTAACACATAATCTACTTTTCCATGGGCAGATCATGAAACTTTTCATCGCAATTAAATACAACAACACTTTTTTATAATTAATATTTAACTTTTTGATTATTAAAATTTAATTAATTTAAAGAATTAATACAAACAAAAATCACAAACAAAACGACGGGACATATTTAACCAACAAATTTAATGCAACAAGACAGGCATTTATGATACATGACCAGTATTTTGTGGGTGGATACTTTTCTTCACAAATTAAACCAAAAGGTTTTGCATCACATTTGGCGAAACCAAAAGGTTTTGCATCACATCTGACTAAACCAAAAGGTTTTGCATCACATCTGGCTCACTCTTTTCCTTTACATGACGGTACATGATTAGCCTCGAATAGATTAAAGTTCTTCTTTATGTTTTTACTTTTACCAGTAGTGTTTTTCACTTCTTCCTTCTTTATTTTCTTTAGCTCTAAAATATTTCTCATTGGCGAACTTGTAATAATAATGGAAAGTTTTTTTCTTAAGCATATTCTCTGGTTTTCACTCTATTCAATAAAATTACGTATCTAACAATATATCTGTTAAAACTAAATGTGTCAAAAGTAAGAAACAATAATGTTCTGGCCGCCTGACGTCCGTGTGTTATCAATGACACTTTGGACGTTCGAAATTACCCCACTAAGATTGTTTGCTATTTCCCCGTGGACACAAGCAAATGAAATATGATTAATATATTGAGGTTGTGTTGACATACCCAAAATGCAATACGTGTTAAAAACTCCTTGATTATGGTACTTTACAACAACAACAACAACAACAAAAAGAGTTGTTTTATATCCATAATAGCTACGACAGGAATGATTATCAAGGTAAAGATCACATGAAATTATAGAAAAAGGATTAGGATCAACTTTTAGGGAACAACTAGCGTAGCTTCACTACACTACTGCATGTCTGGAACTGAGTATAGGATCCCCTCTCAGCAGGTAAAAAGAAATTGCTAACTATCTTTTTCAATCATGCAGTTTTGACCATGTTGGAGTTACCGCGCGTTCGTCATTACCCCACTCTACTCTTAACATACCAGTAAAATTGTTAACCATTACTGGTTAACAATTAATTTTCCACTTAAATTTTCCCCAAAGCTCCGAATCAGGTTGGAGCGGCCCTGTATGAAAGTATTTATAAAAATCATAAGCATATAATAGCAATAAGCAGTAAATACTATTGCAATTATATCAAATAGTCATAAGCAGTAAATACTATTGTAGTTATATCAAATAGTCATAAGCAGTAAATACTATTGTAATTATATCAAATAGTCATAAACAGTAAATACTATTGTAATTGTATCATACATTGTGCATGATGATAAAGACACTAAGGGAAACTTGACGTTAGTGGTAATTGGGGTGTAAAAGGTGCATTGTCATTCTTTAAAAATCTCTAGGAAGGTTAAAAAGTTATCCATTATGTTGAGGTTGTGTGAATGAAAAATGTTAAAAAAAAGTCCTAACATTATTTCAAAATTTTAAAAATTTTATAAAATCCGTAAAATTATTAAACTGCTTAAATAGTTAAACCATTCATTATAATCTTTACATTATATATTATTTAAATTAAAAAATTACACAACTTTAGTTGATTTTCACTTTATTATTGCATCATTCAATTATACTGCAATACAATTCAAATGCTAGAATATGTTGTTTTTATTGACTACCAAAAATCGGTTGCTTAGGTAATCTTTAATTATATTTGATCGGTAAAGTCTAAAGATCTAAAGACCCTTTCTTGATTTCTTTTCTGAAAAAAATTATTCTTTTCATTATAGACTTGATTTTACGCAAGAATACAAGTTCTTTTATTTTTGTGTTTCATCAATAGGATAATGATGAAACACAAAAATAAAGTGGTAAAAGATGGTCTAAAAAATTGAGAGACACTTCTTTAAATATCTTAAAATTAACATAACAACTTAAATTTAATATAACAACAGGTTTGCCACTGTACTCTTCTCCATAAAAGTCTCACATCTGGCAACCCAAGATAAATGGAGGGCGGCAAAGATCGTATACATCAATAAAAATGTTTTTTTAAACAAAATTCATGAAATTATTTATAGAACACGTTTTCTTAACATCAGTTTATGCATTTATTTGCTGTGTTAAAGAGACTATTTGATTGCTGCATTGTTATGTGACGTTTAAATTTATGCTCCAAACTACATTAAACCAAATTTAATTTCACTATTGCATGACATTTGATCATACAATGGTGAAATTAAATTTGAAATTAAATTAAATTCATCTGTTAAGTTCGCCATTTTATAGATAATTGTGCACTTATATGTAGTAAGGGCACGGTAAATGAACTATTTTCAAAATAAATTCAAAGTTTTATCTTTTATAGTTGTTATATACTTCTAATTGCATCTTCTTGGTTTTATCTTCAAAAACTTATAAGCTTTAAAAATAAGAAATTTTCTTCAACTAACATCTCCTTTAATACCGAAAAAACGGCATGTATGGTGTTTAATAAACTTAAGATCCAAATATTATATCAAGTTCTTTCCCAGAGTAATGCGTAACATGAAATAAACAGACTACAGAATAAAATCATAAAAATGCCTACCACAAAAAAATTAAATGCGTTATTTCGAAAAAGATCTAATAAATTTAGTTAAATCAATAAAATTTTGCAACGTAAAGTGCAAGTTGCAAGATAATATGAAAAGACTTTAAGTCCGTACATACGTCGTATAAAACATTAAAAAAGGCAGACAAAACATTTAATTTTTAAAAATTATTTAAACCAATGGCAAAGTACCCAATTTTTTATAGCTTGGTTTGAAATAATCAAAAGTGAACACCTTAGCAAATTTCTAACTTTTGATATAAATGATTTTTACCCATCTATTAGTTTAATCGCTGTTACCAATGCAATCGGTTTTGCCAAACAACACGTTATTATAAATGATGACAATAAAAAATTAATATATCATGCAAGATAATCAATTTGATGGAGCTGAAATTTGCAAACTAGTTGGTATTTTTATATTGTTTTAGCTCCCTCAGATCTGCGATATTTTGAAAACAACAGCGGCCAGCAAATAGAAAAAAAAAAAAAAGCATTTTACGCCTATTTTTAAAAGTAACAACCTACTTATTTTTATCCGATGTATATTATACAATCAAAAATCATTACATGCGGAATTCCACAGGGGCCTATTCTAGGGCCTTTATTGTTTATTATTTATATCAACGATATTTACTTATCATCTAGTATACTAAACTTCAATCTTTTTGCTGACGACACTCAATTTTTGTTATAATCACTTTAACATTAAGACAATCTTTACCACTATGAATCGTGAACTTGATACCCGACAAGAAATTTTAATGTGGGCCATATATGGCATTTGCATGCTAACCATATGCTTACCACTCTCCTTTATGGGATGGCGTTGATGCGTCCCATATGTGGCTTTATTCATAATGTTTATCCAACTAAAACCACACTAAATGAGAACGAACGCCACGCTTCATTTGTGCGTGAAAGTTTCATGTGGCCCACGTCAGGGAAGCACATGTTAGCCATATATTTACCACTCTCCTTTATGGGATAGCATTGTCGCGTTTCATATGTGGCTTTAATGTTTATCCCACTAAAAACACACTATATAAGAACAAGCCCCACACTTCGATTGCATGAAGAAGTATTTTTATTCCTTTAGTCTACCATCTGTTGAACAAATATATCTTATCAGTTTGCCCTATGCGTAACTACAAGTAAACCACTTTAAAAGGCAAAATTATCATATGTAGTATAAGAAAAACATATATACTACATAGTAAAATCGCAAGGCTGTAATATACTTAACCACAATATAATAACACAATTTAATAACGAAATATAATGACGCAGTAACGCAATATAATAACGCGTGTTAGTAATGTTAATATTTCCAACAGCGCTGATCCAAAATTATACCTTGATGTTTTGAAAACATTTTTGCTTGTGGGTTTATAAAATTATAAAAGTGTACCTAAAATTTCAAGCTTTTTAAAAATCAATCAATTTATTTAAGAACGGGATTTTAAATTAGCTTAATTAAACTTGTAAAAATGTACAACAGTAGTTAATCATCAAAAAACTAACTTTATGTAATTTTAATTAAACCATAAAACTATAATATGCAAAATATGAAAGTTGCAATTCCCGATTCTATCTTGTTATGTTGCAACTTATTTGACTTTAGATAAATACTTAACAAACAAAAGCTCTGATAAAAAAAAAATTTTAATTTGAAACCAAGCATTTTTTGGGGGGGTATTTTTTCCTGGGAGATTTTTTTTTCGGGGGGATTTTCCTCGGGGATTATTTTGGGGGGATTTTTCCAGGTAGGTTTTTTCTTAAAACCTATTTTTTTAGTTCAAAAAATTTAAATTAATGCAGAAAATATAATACGCATCAATTAAAAAGTGTGTTTGTTTACCTATACTTATTTTTAGTGACGCATTACTATACAATTTATTTGCGGTTGTGGAAATTTGCGCTATTTTAAAATATAACGTTGTTTAGGTATAATTCTAATTTTGGGTAGCAGGAAAAAATCCCCCCGAAATAATCCCCCGAGAAAAAATCCACCCGGAAAAAAATTCCCCCGGAAAAAATTCCCCCGAGAAAAAACCACCCTGGAAAGTATTCCCCCCCTCCCCCCAAAAAAAAAATAATAATTTTTTTTATAAAATACTTCATTTTTCGGTAAAATGCAAATTGCGTACCGCGAGCTGCGAACCGGTAAAATGCGAACTTTTTTGCGAAACAAAACATTTTAAAAACATTTTAAGTTTTTTTTTTTCAGAAACCAAATTTCAGTTCTAACCAACAGAGGCCCAAATCTTCCAATTTTCCGATAAAAACCGACTGAATTTTATAAATCTGGGGAACGGGGGTGTCCACCCCACACACCCCCGTCGGTACGGCCCTGTATATAAGTAATATAGTTTTAAATAATATCCTTTTAACAATATACCGTTATATAATCTAAATCACGCATAAAATCACAAAAACCACATAGTTTAGTAATGATAACAAATTTTTGCACTTTTATTCCACACGAAAGCACAATGGCCACATGTGGGCCACATATACCTTTTTTTCGGGTAACCTTAATGAATGGTTAAAAAGCAACAATCTTCTTCTGAACCCTACCAAAAGCAAATATACTCTCTTTTTTAAATTTTCTAAGTCTTACACGTTGCCCTTAAAACTCCCGGATACTTCAAAAGAAAAAACCAAGTTGCAACGGACATTCTGCGTTCAATTCTTATGCGTTTTAATCGATGAGAAAGTAAGTAAAAAAGTGCATATTAATCTATTAATTAATAAAATTTCAAAAATATTGGAATAATGTACAAAACTAGATATATGTTGGATAAAAACTCTTTAAAATCTATTTACTTTTCAGCTATTCATAGCTATATTAGTTATTGCAGCATTGCCTCGCAAACACTTATCCGTCAAGACTAACGTGTATCTTAAAAAAAAATCAAGCAATCTACCATATATTAAATACTAATAAATACACCAGTGCTAATCCACTGCTTAGAAAGCTTGGAGTGCTACATGTTTACCAATTAAGTATTTATAATATTCTTTTATTCATGTTTAGATTAAAATACCATATGTTGCCTAATATTTTTGAAGACCTTTTCTTTTTTTATAGATCATAAATATAAAACAAAGCATTTGTTGCTAAACAATCAGGTACCAAAAACTTAGTTAAATTAATCCGAATTCTTAATAACTTACCGAGGGCCATTTTTTTGGAACTCATTTCTTCCAAATAAGAAAACTAAAATTTCAATTCAAACTTTAAAAGGTATATTTAAAAAACAGTTACTTGATTATGACGTATCTCAAATACTATTTTATTTTTAATAAAATAGTATTGAGATACGTCATAATCAGGTTCCTTTTTCTTTTATCTTTGAACCCAATCTCACAACTCTTAGTTGACAATGGACATGAAACAACAGAATTCTTCTTGACATTGTTGAAACTGCTTTAAACCATGTCCTTCCTTGTTTTTGTTATGTTCCAGTGAAAAAGTTGCAGAACTTGTTCTCCAGTTGGTAACTGTTTCGATTTAGCATCCTTCTTCAAAATTTTTATACTAACTCTAAACCAATCTTTTATGTTTAATTTGTTTTAAAAAAAACCATTCATTGACATTTTAAATAAAAATATATTTTTTTCTTCAATCTGATAAATATCTTTTCTTTTTTTTTTAGTATGTTATTTATTTCAAAAATTAAAATATAGTAGTTAATTATGATAAATATTAAACACATGATAAAAGCTTCTTTCAATTTCTGTTATAACTAAATGGGGGTTTAGGGTACCCTAATATATATATATATATATATATATATATATATATATATATATATATATATATATATATATATATATATATATATATATATATATATATATATATATATATATATATATATATATATATATATATATATATATATATATATATGTGATTAAAAAATGATTTATAAAAAAATAAAGTGCTCAATATTTTTAAAAGATTAGATTAATAATAAATTAGTAGAAAATCACTTTACAAAAATATTTCATTTAACACTGTGTTTCATCAATAAATACTCATAGAAATAAATGATTAAACTAATAAAACTTCAATATATATACCAAAAGTTAAATTACAGGAGCTCGTAAATGTTTTAATAACTGTAAATTTACACACATTTGTCGAACTGAACACTATTATAAAAAAGACTTCTTTAGAATTGATTTTTTTTTTAATACGTTTTAAAGTGGGTGATTTAATGTAATTACTATTTCAGCTCACTTAACTTTATAGTTTTTTTAAGAAAAACTTGTTTTCGTGCCTGCATTTAGAAATCAATTCCAAATTTTTTTTTGATAAACATTCTAGGTTTGTATGTGAAACTGTTTAAAAATTTTCTAGTAAATATGCATTTTTTGGAAAAATTCTTATATGCAGGTGATGTTTTAAGGATGTACCAATTCAGTTTAAAATCATCCATGTTTTTATCTTTTAATTCCAATAACTTTTTTTCATGAAAGCTTATTCCATTCACCCACTGTTAAACCAACATATTGTTTATCAGGTACATTCTTAGAGGAAACAACACACTTATATACCACGTTTTTTGATAAACGAATTCCACTCATTGGACAATTGGTTTTTTGTTTACAGTGACAATTTTCTGTCGTTAATTTGTTTAGGATTTCTTTTTATATTTAGCAAGGCATTAGTGTGACCTTTTATAATTCTTTTGATATTTTTTGTGCAACTGTAGCTAGCTTTAATTGTATTTTGATCAAAAATTATATGTAATTTATAGGGTGGAAAATGCTTATCAACCAACTTTAAAAACACTTTTCCTATGTTTGTCGAACTATTTTTGCTATATGGGGGGTTGAACCAAACCACATTTCTAGTTCTATTTTGTTTTTGTTTGACTAGCGTAAAATGGTTTCTTGTTTGCTCAGCAGACTAAACAACAAAGTTAACAAATAATACTGTTACAAATAAACAACTCGTGTGTGCTAATTTATTATTAAAGCACAGCACCATTTTTTAAAAGTAAGAATATGAATAACTTTAATAATACATTAAAGGTTGAGGAAGTGTTTAACACAGGACAGCAAAAGCTGCCTAATTTTCTTTTTTATAAGTAAACATATTTAGTAAAAAAAAAGTCAAATTGATGACGTTTTAACAAATAACTTTTTTTGACCTTTTTCAGACATCTTTTGTGTCGAATAAAATCCATTTAAGAAATAATAATGCATCTATAAAAAAGACATCTATAATTTAGGGTTTGTTTGTGACGTAAAGTAAGATGCCTTTTAGTTCTGTTTGTAGATGTATACTAGATGCACTTTCAATATTATTTTGGCTACTGGGTTAATGGTATCTACTATTAATCATAAAAAATGATTAGATATAATAACTATACTTAATCCACTTACTTTTATTAGTAAATCTTTTATTAGTATGCTCTTTAAATGCAGGAAAATATTTTTTTAACTGTTGTGCAGAAAATGCTTCATTAAATAATTTTCTTTGCCAATGGTGATGTTCATAATTTGACACAAGCATACCGTTGCCAACTAGAGGAAATATAACTTTCATTGCAGTCGATTTTTGAAAAACCTTGCCATTAGAAACCATTGTTTTAATATATTCTGGCATTAAAAGGTAAATAAATTTGAACCCTATAAGAAGAATTAATAATCAAAATGTAATTAATAAATAAATGATTTCATTTTCTTTTCTTTTTTTTTCATATTAAAAAAAATTAAAAAGTAAACGCATTTAAACATTTAACTGTTACTGCCAGTTTTTTTCGTTAGTAGGAGTATCATAAAGAATGTTTGAACCTCAAAAAAACTAAATAATAGAAAAATTTATATTCTAGGAAGTTTTTATAATTGTTTCTTAATTTCTATATTTTATTTTTTATATTATTTTTTTCTTATTGGTAGCAGAAAGCTATAGTAACTGCAGTATTTTGTAAAATAAATTCATGTGAAAAAATTTTTTAAAATAGAAAAAGTTTTACTTTACTATTTTGCTTTTACAATTTTTCATAGTTAGTTATTTTTCATGTCTGCATTTAAAAATTAACTTTTTTTATATATAAATAATCTAAATAAATAGTTTCTTGCATGCATTTTTATGAACAATTGTAGACAGGAGAAGGATTTTGAATAGATATTGTAATTCAGTATCAGTATTAGTAGTATTACAATACAAAATCAGTATTAGTAGTATTTTAAAGACATTTTGGCAGCTTTTTTTTTATTTAAACATTTTTTGTGTTTAAAAGATTGTTTGCAGTTGACACAAAATATGTAAGAAAACGACACATTTATAAATGATATTTTTATAAACATTTTCTGATCATAGGTTTTTTTTTATTTCGTGTGCAAAACAGTTTTTCTATAAATAATAAATAATCTATTAATTTTTATTAATCAATAGATCGTTGCGACCCTTTATATTTATGTTTAGAATATTTAAGCAGCTACCGCTTTGATGATAGTACAAAGCTCTGGCATGAAGCAGGGCTTACCAAATAAATATTATATAATACTATAAACAAATATGGGTGCAATACTAAAAACTGTGCTTTCTCTAAAGTATTGAACTGCATGTTCCCATGTTCTGAAAGTTTGAATCAAATGGATATTAAGTTGGATTAGTTAATCTTCATATATTTTCTCATATATGTACTTGTACAATTATTTTTTGATCGACCATGTTGATAGATCCCTAGCGAAATTTTCATACTTGTAAATATTTAACTATAAAATTGCAATGCTAGTACGGAAAACCTTGCAAAAAATGGTTATAGCTTATATATTATAATTTATGCTTTTTTTTCCTCTTAAATACTGGCATATACTATTGATATATATGGATATAAGCATAAATGTTTGCTATTTATTTACATGCTGACATTATATCCTTTGATACAAACATTAATTGAGAAGAGCTGTCAAAATGGAAACACCTAAAAAGTAAATATACAACTAAAAAAACATTTATTGTTCTTTATTATTGTCTAATTATTTTTAAATTATGGTTAAAACTATAGTAAACCGTAATAAAATTGAAGAAATAGTTCTAACTTTATAAAGTTAGAACTATTTCTTTATAAGAAGTTCTAACTTTATAAAGTTAGAACTTCTTTATAAAGAACTATTTCTTCAAATTAATTACGGTTTGAAACTAAGGATAATAAAAAAAAAATCTTTACACCTTGAAACATTAAAATATGAACTTGAATTTAAACTAATTTTATCAGATAAAACTGGATCGATTTACTCTCTTACTTTTTTCTCTGTGTTTCTCCTAACGTTACTTGCCAGACTACCCAGTGGGAAAAAAGATATCTTTAGACAAATAAAAGACGTCTTTTTTGTGATTTATGTTTTTTTTAAACAGCCTATATAAAGACGTGGAAAGACGTCTTTTAAAAAGACGTCTTTAAAAAAAGAGGTCGTAAAGACGTCAATCGGTTATACGTCTTTAATAAGACGTAGAAAAGACGTCTTTTATATCAATGACCTTTAAAAAAAAGAAATGAGAAAATTTTAATGGAGGGAGAGGGGAAAACTCACTCACGTTTCCCATTGAGAAACAACTTAAGTTGTTTATAAGTAAATCATAATATGTAAATTATAATTATAATAAACAAATTATTATTTGCTTTTTAACAATTTTCTTTGTTAAATTCTTATTGATTATGTAATGATTTCCTTAATAACAACTTTCGTTGTTAATATTATTTGCTAATTAAATTTAAAATAACAATTGCCAATAGAATCTAACAAAGATGGGTTAAAGAACCCACAGTATTGTAATTACGATATCTTTGTTACGTTCTGATTGGCCTGTTTTTTGTTTACAAAATACCTTTATAAAACTTTTTTTATGTAAAACGTTTTTGCATAGGAAATTTAATTAAAAATTACCTATTTATTTTAAAATTTATGTTATAAAGTAATATATTATATATATATATATATATATATATATATATATATATATATATATATATATATATATATATATATATATATATATATATATATATATATTATGTATTTTTGTTTTGGAGGCTATTTTTGTTTTTGGAGGCCTTTTTATGGGTCAGAGCCTGAAATTAACTTAAAAAAAAAAAAGTCCTCTAAAATTTTTTGGGGAGCCTAAACTTGCGGGGCTAAGGGCTATGTATATATATATATATATATATATATATATATATATATATATATATATATATATATATATATATATATATATATATATATATATATATATATATATATATATATATATATATATATATATATATATATATATATATATATATGTATATATATATATATATATATATATATATATATATATATATATATATATATATATATATATATATATATATATATATATATATATATATATATATATATATATATATATATATATATATATATATATATACATATACTGAAAAGGTACTCTTTCTTATATCTAAACATTATTGCAAGTTTCTAATCTTCATTATTGTTTATGTGTATTTCATCTGTGTTGCTAATGATATCGCCAGTTTTTATGATTTTATGTTGTAAAGTAAAGCATCATTATGCCTCAGGCTAAAATATAGCTTTGATTAATACTTTTATCCAGTTTAAATGAATAACAACTCTCAATGTGTATTAGATGAATTATCTTTTCGTTTTGATAGTCTTTAGTCAATAACGAATTTTTAAATTGTTATGAGTCTACGATACTTAAATTCAGCGAAATTCAATTAAAAGGTCACGTCATAGAAGACAGAAAAATATCAATATCTGTTTTCAATAACTTGGCTTTCATAGCAGATCTGAGAGGTGCAAATATTTAGCTTGGTTTAAGTACTACATAATAAAATACATCATTGTACAGTCATTTTGATGGTCGTAAATTTCTTTAACACACTCTTTTTTATATATTTTTAGACTGTTTACCGTTCGACTCCTGTCCCAATCTAACCTAGTGAGTTCAAAATGAAAGAACCGCGCTGGAAACATAAAGAGGTTAAAAGGATCAGCTCTTTTTGAATTAAAGTCTAATCTGTTTCACTCAGCTTATCAAGTTTCATTTGCTTAATTGTATTACATTCAAGTAATAGACTGTTTTTATGTTCACTTGTTTTTCAGAAGTCGCAACCAGCTTTCAACCAGTATGAAAGGATTTCTCGACGTGAAATATTTAATTTTATTCAACAACGCCAAGAAACAGAGCTCGCTCAAGAAATAGAAAAGAAATAGAAAGGTGAAATAATATTCTGTTTAACAATACTGTTGTTTTATTTATAAATTATTCTCCTATGATTAAACATATAAAAGATGTAGAAAATGCTTCCTCTTTTATATTGACATCTAAAAGAGGTTTCTTTCTCGGCTTTTGATGATTCTTTTTGATGGCGAAAAAAGATGTCTTTTAGAATTGCATATTCGACTAAAAAAAAGCGCCTTAAAGACGCATTTTTTTATGTTTCTTCATAACAAGATTAAGATAAAAAAAGACGTCTTTTCGATGTCGAAAAAAGATGTCTTTTAGATTTGCATAATTGATTAAAAAAAGACGTCGTAAAGACATCATAAATAAGACTTTTAAAGACCTCTTTTCGACGTCTTTTTTCCCACTTGCTTGAGACTACAAATTGACATAATTAGACACTACTTGTATTCTGCCAAGCATTGAAATAGCTACTTTTACCTTTTGCCTGATAATTTTTGCAATTTAATATTTTTATCTTTAAATTTAAAAATAAAAATATTATATTGCAAAAATTTTCTGGCAAATGGTTAAAGTAACTATTTCAATGCTTTTTGAATACAAGTAGTGTTTAATTACGTCAATTTTTAGTCTCTAGTCTGGCAAGTAAAGTTAGAAGAAACACAAGGAAAAAAGTAAGAGAGTATATCGATCCAGTTTTATCTGATGAAATTAGTTTAAATTCAAGTTCTTATTTTAATGTCTCAAGGTATGGAGATTTTTTTTAATAAATAAAGGAAGTATTAGACACATGTAATAGAAAATCAAGTACTAAAAACATAAAAAAATTCATCCTTTTGAAAAATCTTAAATTGCCTGAAGAGGTAAAATAAAAGGTTCAAAATATATTTATTAGGGATAAAAACCAAGGTTTGGTTAAACTATAAACATATAAAGTATCATTACATATACACTTTGGAAAGAGTCTCCTAATAAATTTAGTTCAGAAACAGTATTTAATATCAAAAATATCCATAACATTTTTTAACATAGCGTGTTGACTAAAATACAAAAAGATATTGGTTGACCAAGATTTGAAAGCAATGTAGAGATTGATGTTAATAAAAAATCTAATTAACTAAATCACTTTTATTAAAATCAACAGTTGTCATTCTAGCGAGATACTTAACATAAAAAGGTTCAAAATGTAGTATGTGTTAAAAAAATACCAATATTGTTGATGAAATATGCAAACAAGATTATTTTGCTCTCCAAGAATCAATTTTGAAAATTAGCATTGGCGGGGTCCACGTTCAACTAATGTTGTTATGAGCCTTTCTAATCATAAATAAGGATTAACTAAGGAACTAAAAATGTTCTGGTGTAAATATGGTTATTTA